AATCTTACCCGTTGAGTAAATGATAGTATTAAATTTTATTGGTAAGTGTCTATCAAGTAAGTATTTGGTAAACAGACCCTTAAATCTGTAATAGAAAACTTGGTATTGAAACAATTCATACATCTCATACCCATACCGAAATAGAGTAAAATAAAGATGGAACAACCACCGCCCATGAATCGATTACAACTTCCCTTTATTCTTGCTAGTGCTTGTCAAACCTTCCCTTGAGATAGTTAGCTAATAGACTCAGTAAATTCATGGTTTGCATAAAAAAATATCCGGAAATCATTCTATCTTGATCATACTATAAAGACACTATAACTTTATATGCAAACATGCTTTTTACTACGACAAACACTTTCTCAGAACATGTTTTTCAAATTTTGAACATTGTTAAAACACTGATACATAAATAATGTATATGTTGTTGCACGTTGTTGAAACAATGGTGCATAGATATTAGGGGTGCACAAAAAACCGATCAACCCGTCAACTCATCCAACCCAAATCGTTGGTTTATGAAATATTCAAACCAAGGATAGTAGGACTGGTTATGGGTTAGGCTCATGTAAAAAGAGAACCAACCCGTCAAAGTTTTTGTTCATATTATTAAATGCCTACTTTCTAGTCCATTGACATACGGTGTCATTTCAATTCAAGTCCTTATGATAATATGTATCTTGAAACTTATGTAAAGCTAACTAAGACATAAACTTGAATGATTATAATATTTTACTTGTTTTTTTTTGGTTTTGAAATTGTAATGTAATCGTCGTTTTAAACATATATTCAAACCACCATGACTGAAAACTGAAATGCAATGGGTTGGGTTATAAATTAGAATATATGTTTATTTGAGAGGTCCAAAATCTCAAGCGTTAGAGCAGTAAACTCCTTATATACTTGTGAATTGACCCCGAATTTAGGACCGGCTTTTTCCCTCATGAATGTTCTCATATAAAATTCTCTCTTTTTAACTTAGAAACTAACTCATGCCAAGATATTGTGGCACACGTACCTCTTTTAATGTCCCATGATGATGACAACACCCCAAAGTTGCCATTGTCCTTCAAGTCATGATGGTGGTGTGGATCTTCGTTGCATCATCTAAGATTTTCTATAACTTCGGAGTACCTAGTGACTTCCCAATGCTTCTCTCTTGCCTACAAAGATTTTTTTTATTAACCTGGATATCTAACCCACTATGCGAGCAGACTAATTCCATGACGACCACCTGTTTTGTAAATAGCCCGGAGTCATCGCATTTGAACCTCTGTGGCCACAAGAGGATTTTTATTCCTCCTTCGATTTGAACCTGGAACCTCCTGGTACTTTTAACCTTTGAAGCCAAGTTCAAACCAATCAGACACCACACTTGTGGTTCAAAGATTTTAGGTTCATGAACTTCCATTATTAGTGTGGATGTACCGCTACTTGCTCCATTTGCCACAGTTCATTTGCAAACGCCCAGAACTTTTTTAAAGTTGGATACAAGTAATGAATTGTTCTTTGTCCATCCATTTTTTGTGATTCCTCTAAGATTGTCAACTTCTCTTTGAAAATTTCTTCTTAAGATTTTAAGCATGCTCTTGATATCTTCTAGAACTTCCATGTCTTCCGCCTCGAATACACCAATTACGTTGGTGGTGGAAACTCACAAGATGATGACTGGTATCATCAACCTGTTCCTTCTATTCTCCGGTTGAAATCTCAACTTCAATGCCTCTAGCATCCATGCAAGCCATCAACTTCTTTGATTGACAAGCCTCATTTCGTCCTCAGGTCTCCTCATGTCCCCCAACAAGACTCAGTTCTCTATTGCTTGTCACTGCCTCAACCTTTAGATCGAAACATGCTCTAATACCATTAACTAGTTATCACAAAGTTATCTCTAGAAGCCCTTGGTACTCGTACCAAGGCAGCAAAACTTGGAAACATTTACCCAAGGGCTTTGGCCTAAGGGTATCGTAGCCCTTGGCCTTCTAGGAGGTCAGGGGTTTAAACCTCTCCATAGGTGAGGAGGGTGTGTGAGTTTATTTGTTGCATTTGCCGTATATAAATATTATATACTTAAAAAAGAAAAAAAAAACTTGGAAACACAAAGCCAAATGAACAAACAAGAGCTAGAGAGAGAGAGAGGGGGAGAGAGTGGGGAAAACTCAATATTTCTATTGCTAAGGGCATCTCCAGTGCATGACACTCTACCAGAGTGTCATGGACTGCCACATCAGCATTCCACTCACCATACAACTCTATCATTTTATACCCACACTCCATAACACTCCAATGAGTTTAATGGATTTCCACATCATATATATATATATATATATATATATATATATTATCTAT